CGTGACCATCTGTTACCCTCATCTCTCTCTGTGTCCCCGTGCTTTACTTGCTGCCATGTCGTGCTTGAACGATATCAGGGACCGCGCTTGCCCACGCGACGCTCACAGCAAGAACGGTGGTCGCCATAGCCTGGATTGAACATCATCGCAGACAGTGACTCTCTCTCTCGCTGTCCCCCTCCGTCGCTGTCTCCCCCCTTCTCCTCCTCCTCCTCCTCCTCCTCCTCCTCCTCCTCCTCCTCCTCCTCCTCCTCCTCCTCCTCCTTCCTTCTCTGAAGCAGAGAGAGAGTGTGTGTGTGTGTGTGTGTGAGAGGAGGGGGGGAGGGAGGGAGGGAGGGAGAGAGGGAGGGAGAGAGAGAGAGAGAGAGAGAGAGAAAGAGAGAGAGAGGGGGGAGACTCGAGGGAGCGGCGATCCCTGTGAAATCGCAATTTTTGCGAAGCCTGGGGGCACCAAGCCCTGTCATTGCATTTGGATGTTTGGGATTTCTGGGTCAAGAATCCCAGAACCTTTGTGATGTCATTTTGAGTGTTTGGTGATTTGGGGGATTTTCAGTCCCAGAGAAAAAACAAACGACGACGGGGCTCCCCAGGACTGGAGGATTGAAAATCCTAAAAATCCCAAACATCCAAATGAAATCACATGGGTGCTGGGATTCTTGACCCAGAAATCACAAAAATCACAATGATATAACAGGGTGTGGTGCCCCTAGGCTTCGCAAACATTGTGATTTCACAGAGATCGCCGCTCCCTCGAGTCTCTCTCTCTCTCTCTCTCGCTGTCCCCCTCCGTCTCTGTCTCCCCCCTTTTCCTCCTCCTCCTCCTCCTCCTCCTCCTCCCCCCCCTCCCCCTTCTGTAAGCAGAGAGAAAGTGTGTGGGAGGGAAAGAGAGAGATTTGTCTCTCTCGTTCTCTCTCACTCTCTCTCTTCCTCTGTCCCCCTTCGTTTCTGTCTCCCCCCTCCTCCTCCTCCTCCTCCTCCTCCTCCTCCTCCTCCTCCTCCTCCTCCTCCTCCTCCTGTGAACCAGAGAGAGGTACAGAGAGAGAGAGGGAGAAAGAGAGAGAGAGAGAGAGAGTGAACCGTTCAACGACCGATGCAAAATGAATGGGTGCTGGGGGGGGGCTGCGCGTAATATATATATATATATATATATATGTATGTATCGATTGGCCCGTCTTGTGGAGTAAAACAATGTTCACATGCAATCGCCTCCAGCGGCTGATCGACGCTGCCTGGTGGTCCCCGAGCCGCGGCCGCCAGCTCGGGATGAAAATTGTACGACCCCTCTCGTTGATGCAGACCCACTGCGAGTTTAACCAAGGAACCGTGCGATGACACACCGCGGCGAAGACAAGGAGAGCAGGCCGTACAGATAAACTATGAATCGCCAAATGCCTGAAGTGATCCACCCGGCATCCATTTCGCCAGTCATACCAGGTACAATGCGTGCACCGACCTGCGATAGGCAAACGCACGTAGTGGACCTCGGCCTGGAGGACAAAGCAAAAGCGCATACATACCACTGAGTAGACAGGGTGAAGCGAGGAAAGGTGGGAGAAGCAGAGGGATGAGGAGAGGGGGAGGGCACGAAGGCAAAGCTGAGCGGGCCCAGCGCGCATCAAACATCTGCACAGCGAGCCCTTGCCAAGCCACACCTGCTTTGCAGAAGTAACAAGTGCTCAAGGGCGTCATGAACAACCGTCTCTTGAGGAGGGATAGCCAGTGAGAACTAAAGGCAATAAGACCGACGATTGTTCTTCGATGGATGGAGATGGTTGTACCGATGGTTGTCCCGTCGTTGGGTCCACACACGCACCAGCCGTCCGATCGGCCCCTGGGCAATCTCTGAGAACATACAGTAGGAACTCGGCCACAAGAACCCTTCCACAAGAAACCCGACCCTGAGACCCCAGGGCGACCATTCAAGTTTGGTGTGGGAACGTGACGATTTCCATGGGAAAACCATCGAAACCCAAGAAATCCAGGGCTAGCAAGGTGCTTCTGGACATGGGTTCCCGCTGTATGTTAGCCAGCGTGGACCCCACCCAGGGCGTCAGTGTACCGTGGAGGTGCACGCTGGGCGCTGCAAGCCGTGAGGGTTAGGTCGGGTATGTCCCCCTACAGGCCGCCACTTTCGAGGCCCGTTGGGGGGCCCAGCGCAGTGGGCACCCACGGCGGATTCAGATGGGACCTCGCCATCCCTGGGGGGCTGCGATCTGTGAAACTGTCGCCACTTTCGAGGCCTGCTGGGGGGCCCAGCACAGTGGGTACCTACTGCGGATTCAAATGGGACCTCGCCGTCCCTGGGAGGCTGCGATCTGTGAAACTGTCGCCACTTTCGAGGCCTGCTGGGGGGCCCAGCACAGTGGGTAGTCACCGCGGATTCAAATTAGACCTCGCCATCCCTGGGGGGCTGCGATCTGTGAAACTGTCGCCACTTTCGAGGCCTGCCGGGGGGCCCAACACAGTGGGTTACAAACTGCGGATTCAAATGGAACCTCGCCATCCCTGGGGGGCTGCGATCTGTGAAACTGTCGCCACGTTCGACGCCTGCTGGGGGGCACCGCACAATGGGTTACACACGGCGGATTCAAAGTTGACCTCGCCATCCCTGGGGGCTGCGATCTGTGAAACTGTCGCCACTTTCGAGGCCTGCTGGGGGGCCCAGCACCGTGGGTACCAACGGCTGATTCAAATTGTACCTCGCCACCCCTGGGGGGCTGCGATCTGTGAAACCGTCGCCACTTTCGAGGCCTGCTGGGGGGCCCAGCACAGTGGGCACACACGGCGGATTCCAAATTGGACCTCGCCATCCCTGGGGGGCTGCGATCTGTGAAACTGTCGCCCCACTTTCGATGCCTGCTGGGGGGCCCAGCACAGTGGGTACCCACCGCAAACTCAAATTAGACTTCGCCATCCCTGGTGGTCTGCGATCTGTGAAAATGCCGCCACTTTCGAGGCCTGCCGGGGGGCCCAGCACAGTGGGTACCCACCGCGGAGTTCAAATTAGACCTCGCCATCCATTGGGGGGCTGCGATCTGTGAAACGTCGCTACTGTTTCGAGGCCTGCTGGGGGGCCCAGCACAGTGGGTACCCACCGCGGACTGAAATTAGACCTCGCCATCCCTGGGGGGCTGCGATCTGTGAAACTGTCGCCACTTTCGAGGCCTGCTGGGGGGCCAGCACAGTAGGGCCACCGCGGATTCAAATTAGACCTCGCCATCCCTGGGGGGGTGCGATCTGTGAAACTGTCGCCATTTTCGAGGCTTGCTGGGGGGCCCAGCACAGTGGGGCCACGGCGGATGTGACCTCGCCATCCCTGGGGGGCTGCGATCTGCGAAACTGTCGCCACTTTCGAGGCCTGCTGGGGGGCCCAGCACAGTAGGTACACACGGCGGATTCAAAGTTGACCTCGCCATCCCTGGGGGGCTGCGATCTGTGAAACTGTTGCCACGTTCGAGGCCTGCTGGGGGGCCCAGCACAGTGGGTACACAACGCGGACTGAAATTAGACCTCGCCGTCCCTGCGGGGCTGCGATCTGTGAAACTGTCGCCACTTTCGAGGGCTGCTGAGGGGCACAGCACAGTGGGTACTCACCGCGGACTCAAATTAGACCTCGCCGTCCCTAGGGGACTGCGATGTGCGAAACTGTCGCCACTTTCGAGGCCTGCTGGGGGGCACAGCACAGTGGGTACCCACCGCAAACTCAAATTAGACCTCGCCATCCCTGGGGGGCTGCGATCTGTGAAACGGTCGCCACTTTCGAGGCCTGCTGGGGGACCCAGCACAGTGGGTAGTCACCGCGGATTCAAATTAGACCTCGCCATCCCTGGGGGGCTGCGATCTGTGAAACTGTCGCCAGTTTCGAGGCCTGCTGGGGGGCCCAACACAGTGGGCTTCCCGCACGTCTTTCTCCTGATCTTCGTTCCCGACTCCCCATGTCCTCTTCGAGCCTGTAGTTGTCGCCCCTCGTTCTTGTATGGTTCTCCTGAGCATCATGCCATAGGCGCGTGTCCCAAGTAGCTTACATATCAAACAACGGATCCTGCAATTTGATTGTCCATGCAAGTTTCGGCCAACTCCTCGTTTCCCATGATACGAATGGGTTGGGTACGTCACAAGGTAATTTTTGAATATTCCTCCTGTAGAAGGGCACGCCCGATTTAATGCGAGGGCCCGGGGCAGGAAAGGAGGAAACCCAGGGGGACCTTCGCGCAGCCGCGCGGGTTTGGACCTTCGCACCTCTCTTCAGGCCCGTTTTTTCGCCTCGCCCCCCGCAACGGCACGAGCCGATGCGCGTCGTGCGCGGGGGAGCAGGGCGGCGGCAGGGGAGGAGGAGGAGGAGGAGGAGGAGGAGGAGGAGGAGGAGGAGGAGGAGGAGGAGGAGGAGGAGGAGGAGAATGAGGAGGAAAGGGAGGAGGAGGAAGGGAGGATGAGGAGGATGGAGGGAGAGGATGAGGAGGGGAGGGGAGGGGATAGGCGGAGAGGCTTGGAATAGGAGAGGACGGGAGGAGAAGGGGAGAGGGGGAGAGGAGGAGGAGGAGGATGAGCAGGAGTGAAGAATGAGGCGGAGGAGGGTGAGGATGAAAAGGGATGGGGTATTAGGAAAGGAGGACAGGATCTTAGTTTGGATAAGAGCAGGAGGCGGATAGGAGGCGCCGAAGGAGAGGATGAGGGTGGCCTTGCCTAGGAGGGAGGATGCAGGCGAAGATTAGTGAGGAGGAAGAGAGGAGGGGGAGGAAAGGAGGAGGATGAAGGATGAGAAGGATGAGGAGGATAGAGGCTCGATAGGAGGGGGAGCTGGAGAATGAGAGGAGGAGGATGAGAAGGCGGAGGAAGGAGGAGTATGAGGAGGAGGAGGAGGAGGAGGAGGAGAGAGGCTCGGAGGGGGAGGATAGAGGCTTGGAGAGGAGAGAGGGGAGGCGCAACAGAACGTGCGAGCGGGCGGCATGGCGCCCAGCCGCCCTCAGCGGCAGCGCGGGGGAGGCGAAGGCGCGGGCCGCCTCGGCGCCGGTGAGAAGCAGCGCGGGAGCGCCGCCGGCGGTGGCCTCCGCGGGGCCTGCCAGGGCCAGCGGCCTAGCGGCGGCGGCGTGCCGCGGGGAGGGCGGAGGAAGAGGAGGTGAGGGGAGGGGAGGGGAAGAGTGAGGAGGAGGGGCAGGAGGAGAAGGAGGAGGAGAAGGAGGCGGAGGACCAGTGAACACCCAGAACTCATCAACGATGTTGGAATAAACGCTCCCTCCAAGCCCCCTCTTCACAGGCCCCTACAACGGTTCATTTCCATCGAGGGAACTGCCTCGTTGGGAGACAACCGTTTGAACACCCTGAAGCATGCCAAAACACCATTCACTCTCGGGACTCCAACGCCACAAATCAACATGAATGTCGCGTCTTGACGATCCGGAATCGTGCTGTCCCTGGGATCCCAACGCCGCAAATCAACGAAACTGCTGCGCTGTCAAATCCCTGAGCTCTTCCAAAACAAAATGTCTGGCGCGCTGGCCATGGGAATCCATGAAACTCTTGCACATGTTGAAATCGAGCGTGCGCGGCGCTGAGGCGAGAGCCACGTTTTGAAAACCACCCGCCCTCAGGCTCAGGGGGGACGGGTCGCTCCCCGAGCGGCGGCGCGGCCAGCCCCGCCGGCGGGCCCACCAGGCCCCAGGCACAAGGGTGCGGGCTCCAACGGCAGGCGACAGGCCAAGCGCGGCGCCTGGCAGCGCGCCATGGCGACCCGCAGCCGCAGGGAAGGCGGTGGGGCTCCAAGGCAGGGAGGCTTCCTAGAAATCCGCCCGGCCTCTAAGAACGTTCTGAAAAGTCTCCGGGGCCTTATGAGAAGGCCCCTGTCTTCGAAGAAGTCTCTCGACCTTTTCTTAAAGTCGACCACCCTCGCGTCAGGCCTAGCTTGGACCGGCATGAGCAGCGCTCTGACTGGAACCGCGGCCATCAGCAGAACGTCGTCAACACTTACGACAATGAGCTGCGTAATAGGCAGCACGCCGACACCAGCCGGATGACTCGTGCGAGCCCGAAGCAGACGCACTGCGTTGTCATCCAGGTCCTCTCCGAGAAATAATACGACCACACGGACGAAAACTGCGCCAACCAGTACTAGACGAGAAAACCCAAGAAGAAACAGGGCACCTTCCGTACGAGGCGCAGAAAAACCCTTCGGCGTTTTGCGGAAGGAGACACGCGAGCTTCCCCTGGACCCCCGCTGCAAGAACAACCACACGGACGAGGTACGTAGAGGACATCAAGGTCGACCGCGTCAGCGCCGCGCTCGCCGACTCCCAGGAGCCAGAGACGGAGGAGGAGGAGGAGGAGAGGGAGGAGGAGGGGGACAAAGACGTCGACGCCCTTAGCACCGACACCGGGGCCCGCGACTTCGACGGCACCTGCGCTGGAATGCAGGAGATCGCCCAGCCCGTGGACTCTTGCACGGACCAGGTCGCAGACGCCATCGCTGGTTACCTCCACTCCAGCACGATCGTCCTTCTCTACCGCCCGGGTGAGGCAGATCAGGAGGACGAGGTCTGTCAGGCGTCCGAGGAACGAGCCCATCTCGACGAGTCCGAGGAGGTCGAAAATGATGGGACAGTTTTCCACCACCACTACCAGAGGTAGGAGAGGGAGGAGGAGGAGGAGAAGGAGGAGGAGGACCTCCCCATCCTTCCCTCTCCCTCGTCCTACCTGTGGTAGTGATGGTGGAAGATCGGCCCATCAGGAGAGGAGTCGGACGGCGGTCCGGATACGCCGTGGCTCTCGCGGCCTGGCGGCGCGGCCAGCGCGGCGGAGGTTCACGGAAGGAGGTCACTCGCTTCCCCCCTCTCTCTCGCTACTCCGAGTTTCGTAAGCGTCACCCCCGCCGACAGCCCCACATCGACCCCCGTCGCGGGCAGCCACCGCGGGCCGAAGGCGCTCCGACCCCCTTCGCGGCGCGACGACGAGGCGAGGTTGACCCCCGTCGAGGGGGGTACCCTCCCACGCTTATCAAGAAACCCAGAGTAACCTTCTCCCTCCCTCCACTTGTGGGACGGGCATGAGGCTGGGCAGGATGAGGATCGGATGGGACGGAAGAGATCTCGAAGGCTGGTGCGACGCGCGCGCGACGGGGCCTGGGCGTGAGCGAGTCCGTAAACCAGACGGTGCGGGCACACCCACTTCTGGGTCTGTGTAGCACCGAGCTGCAGCTGGCACTGCAAGGTGCAAGCACAGTTGCAAGAAGAGCTGTCACCTTCATGCCTTGATGCCAGTACAGTGTGGTTCGGTTGGCAGAGCAAACCTACTCAACGAACCAATGGCAACACGCGTCTTGATCATATCCAAACACGGTCAACAATGCAATGCCGTGCTCATGTGTCGCTCCACTTGCTCATCACAGCTCGCTGGTTCGGCTGCGACTCCATTTCGAGAATCGAGCACGGTGTCTTTGCGTACGCTCGCAGGCGTGCACCTCCTGACGACGATGGCCTCCGTGCCCCCTTCCCTTCCTTTCCTTGGCGGCGCGCACAATTGGTTAGGGGGAGGGGGGTAGGCTTTGTAGAAGCAGGGGTACTTCTCAGAAGCCTTCCCCAGTCTCCCTGCCCCCTTTGCGCTTGGCTAGTCCGTGCCCCCTTTTCCCAGAGGTCCTCTAGATGGGGTGCGAGCAGATGGGGTCGCATTGGCAACGTCGGCGATGTTTCGGCGACACCAGGGTGGAGAAAAACGGGCTCCCATCGGGCCGCATCGCCGATGCATCGGCGATGCGGCGCGATCCTCCGACCCCATCTACTTCGACCCCATCAAGGAAATCTAGACTACCCCCCTCTGCGCGTGGCTAGTCCGTGTCCCCTTCCCTTCCCGCCGTTCAACCTTCCGCCGTGTCCTTTTCCGCCGTTCAACCTTCCTCGCCCGCTTCCCTTCCGCCGTTCAACCTTCCTCGCCTGCTTCCCCGCACCTCCTCGGCGCCGCGCCTGTGGCACGGGCCCCTGCCCCCTCAAAGCGGGGTGCCAAACTGCTTGCACGGAGGAACACCAGTTCGGTGGCAACTCATGGGAGCCTCCCACACCATCTTGTCGGCTCTTGCGAATCGACGCTAATCGACAGACAAATCGACGCTAGCCGACGCTAAATCGGCGCTACCTCAGCGACTCCCAGACGCTAATCGACGCTGCTGACGACGGAATTAAGAGGGTACACCAGGCTCCCATATTTGCTGCCGAAGGGCACCAGGGGTACGAACGCCACAGCTGCTGCCGCCGGCCTCGCGCTTGCGATGCCCAACAGTATCCCCCACCCCTATTTGAGGGGCAACGATACGAGGGGATCGGCGGTGGACAAACCTCCGTTTGGACAGTAAAAACGGTCTGGGACCGAAACCGACGGGCCTGGACCCGCAACAATGACGGCCGCGACGCCCTCTCGCGAACCGAAAACGGCCAATTCCTTAATCGACGTGTCAGGGTAGGAGGTCTGTCCACCCCCGACCCTATCTGAGGGGCAACGATACAAGGGGGATAGGTATAGGGGGGAACATCAACCTGGACTCAGCTACACATCGCCGACAGAGCGGCGATAGGCCCCGGCTAGTGACTCCGCACGCTCCCACCCAGAGTATCCCCCCTATCGTTGCCTCTGTCTATGCTTAAGTCGGGCCTGTCCCCCTACAGGGGGATTTTGGACGAAAAATGACAATTCAAATGATGCCTAAGCATACGAACAAAAATAGTCCCCATACTATTCTTTGACTATTTTTGAATATTCCCCCTGTAGAGGGACACGCCCGACTTAACCCTATCGTTGCCTCTGACTATCCCTGCCCACCCTCCCGCCGCCGGCCGCCGCCGCCGCTGTTATTCCATGGCAGCAGCTGCTGCGTCTGCACATCGTTGCCTGCTTCCCGCGAGCCGCCAGGGCCTGCTGCCAGCCGCCCGCATGGCCACGCACACATGCGAGACATGCCATGACTCCAGCGACAGTCAGATAGGGGCAGGAGGAGCAGGAGGAGAAGGAGGAGGAGGAGGAGGAGGAGGAGGAGGAGGAGGAGGAGGAGCTGGGGTGGGCGTGGTGGAGATGCCGAGACACGTCGGCTGACAAGACGGCAGAGTGAATCGGTCGGCCAGAGCTCACCTCTTGTCAGGCACACGCCAGCATGAATTACGTAGAGAGCCGTGGATCTGGCGCGATGGAGCCTCCCGGACACGTGAGGCCAATGCCGCCTCGTTTGGCGACAGCGCGCGCCGATTTCTCCTGGAAATGGGACACGTCGCGAATCCACGCGCCTTGATCCATCTGGGAGGGCAGCGCTCTTGATCAGCCCGGATGCCCGCAGCAGACACGAGGAGGGTGGGGGGAAGGGGGGAGGGAGGCGAAGGTGAGGGAGGGGACGACTGAGGAGGGTGAGGAGGAAGGAAAGGGGGAATGGGGGGGGGCAGGGAGGAGAAGGGGAGGAGAGGGAGGGGAAGATCGAGGAGGAGAGAGGGGGAAGTGGAGAGGAGCACGAGGGGGAGGAGGACGTTGTTGTTCGCAGCGGCTGCGTGCGGGTCGGGTCGGGTGGGCGGTCTGGCAGCCACGCGATATCTCGGCGGCATCTCGAGAGAACGGGCAATCCCTCGTCACTGACGGCCTTCGACTGCCAGCATTGTATTGTATCCTCCGGTTGCCCCCAGAGAGAGAGAGAGAGAGAGAGAGAGAGAGGAGAGGAGAGGAGGTAGGCAGAACGAGGCGAGGAGCAGGAAGGGGAGGAGTAGGCAACCACGAACGAGTACTACCCCTGAAAAGCCGGCTGGGATTCAGAATTCGGAGGATGCCTGCGGCCAAGTGAACCCTGGTGGAGTGTACCCGCAGGGGTAGGGTAGGATTCGCTGGTGGTCTTATGATGTTGCTCCCATTGTACGGAAGGACCACATCCCCGAAATAATTCCGAGCACCCAGAGAAGTATCGAAGCAGTGTCGAACGAGCATCGCCTCCTCGGGCTCGGCGCGTGAAAGACCTGAAAAGCCGGCTGGGATTCAGAACTCGGAGGATGCCTGCGGCCAAGTGAACCCTGGTGGAGTGTACCCGCAGGGGTAGGGTAGGATTCGCTGGTGGTCTTATGATGTTGCTCCCATTGTACGTAAGGACCACATCCCCAAAATAATTCCGAGCACCCAGAGAAGTATCGAAGCAGTGTCGAATGAGCATCGCCTCCTCGGGCTCGGCGCGTGAAAGCCCTCTGGTTTCGGTACTTGTCTTGGCGCTCGACATCATTTCTGGCATTCAAAGCTAAAGTAGGTTGGAACATCCTTTTGGACGCTCGAAATTGGTACGGCAAAGATGGGTACAATGCCCAACAAGAAGTTTGGTCCAAAACCCACAGCGGCCGCTGTTGGGCAGGCGGCCTTCTGTTTGAAATGGACACAGGCCGCGGCGACGCGGACAGCGAGCCCTGTTCAGAATGAACAGGAACTGCTGTTGGGCACTGTACCCATTCTTTACGTACCCACCTCGATCGTGCCGAATCCTAGCGGTGGTCGCAGAAGGGCGACCCTTCCTGGCAATCAAGGCTAAAGCAGGTTGGAACATCCTACAGTAGGCCCGGCTTACGTAGTAGGTCGATCCTGCCAGCTCAAGGGTACCCTTGTGTCCTGTGCCTCGCGACGCGTGCCTTCTTGCACCCCTATGGCGATGTGGCCCTCGGAAGGGCCTTAGGTCCTCTCGCGTGTCCTGTCCAATCAAGGCCGACTGTAGCGGTGGTCGCAGAAGGGGAACGTTGGCGTGCGCCGCGGTGGCGCGCGGCCCCAGGGCGCGGGGCGAGACCCGCCCGTAAGCGCCGCCCGCAGCTGCATCGCACACGGGCAGGCGAGGCGCCCCGTGGCCTCTCTCGGCCGCCACTGCGCATGCGTGCCTTGAGCGGAGCTGCGCGGAGGCCGGCTGCCGCCGAGAGCGACAAGCGGGGCGGGACGGCCAGCCCCCCCGTCCTCCTCCTCCTGCTCCTCCTCCTGCTCCTGCTCTTCCTCCTCACCCTCCTCCTCCTCCTCCTCCTCCTCCTCCTCCTCTTCCTCCTCCTGCTCCTGCTCCTGCTCCTGCTCCTCCTCCTTCTCCTGCTCCTGCTCCTCATCCTCCTCCTGCTCCTGCTCCTGCTCCTCCTCCTCCTCCTCCTCCTCCTCCTCCTGCTCCTGCTCCTCCTCCTGCTCCTGCTCCTCCTCCTGCTCCTGCTCCTCCTCCTGCTCCTGCTTCTCCTGCTCCTGCTCCTCCTGCTCCTGCTCCTCCTGCTCCTGCTCCTGCTCCTCCTCCTCCTCCTCCTCCTCCTCCTCCCGCCTCCGCCTCCTCCGCCTTCCTCCGCCTCCCATCCTTCCTCCTCCTCCTCTCCTCCTCCTCCTCCTCCTCCTCCTCCTCCTCCCCTCCTCCTCCCCTCCTCTCCTCCTCCTCCTCCTCCTCCTCCTCCTCCTCCTCCTCTCCCTCCCCAGAAGGGCGCCCCAACGGCCCTCCTACCCACTGCGAGCCGGAAATTTCTCCAAATGCCGATGCCGTCCAACCCCCAGGGGCGGCGGATGTGGTATGGACACACTTGGGCAGCCTTGGTCCCCGGATGATTTCAAGTCCACCGCCTGCCGAGTGCCCTGGAGATCGACCTCCCAGGCGGCGGTGATGGACGAGTCCACGCCTGCGCACACCACGCCGACCTCGGTGCGCCAATCCCCGACGGAGCCGCACCCTTCGTCTTCGCAGGGGCGGCAGCCCAAGGACACGCCCGACGTCCAGCGCCTGGCTCATCACGGGCGAGCTCCCAGGCGCGCTGAGACGGGCAAAGGCCGTTCGAGGGCCCCCCTTGACCTGAGCTTCCTGGGGCCGCAGAAGCCAAAGAGGAGGAGCAGCGGCCGGCAGGATGAGTAACGAGGAAGGGAGGATGAGGCCGGGATGGGGAGGGGGAACGGCTGGGGGGGGCAGGGAGGGTGGAGGAGAGAGGAGGGGAGGGAGTAAAACTGCAGGGTGGGAAATGGGGGGAAGGGAGGAGGAATAGGAGGAGGATGAGGAGGAGGAGGAAGTGGAGGACGAGGAAGAGAAGGAGGAGGAAGAGGATGAAAATCATTATGAGGAGGAGGAGGAGGAGGAGGAAGAGGAGGAGAAGCATGAGCAGGAGCAGGAGCAGGATGAGGAGGATGGGGCCGCAAATGGAGACGGAGGCTCTCCGAGGATGGGGTTCGCCCCAGCCTTGACAACACCGAAGCCCACGCGACGGGCTCCAGCCTCTCCTCTGGCTCGTTACCGCTACCACCTCGGCGAGGGAGGAAGGCGCGCGGGCCCCACGGCTCCTCATACATCCTCGCCCTTCCTCGCTTTCCACACCCGCCCTCATCCTTCATCCTCATCATAGTCCATCCTCTTCCCTGCCTCCTCCTCCCTCCTCCACCCGTCCTCCTCCCCCGTGATCCTCTTCCTCCTCCTCCTTCTCCTTCTCCTCCTCTTCCTCCTCCTCGTCCTCCACCTCCTCCTGCTCTTCCTCCTCTTCCTCCTCCTCCTCCTCCCCCTCCTCCTCCTTCTCCTCCGACAAACTGCCCCGTCCTCCTCCTCCTCCTCCTCCTCCTCCTCTTCTTAGTTTTTCTTCTTCTTCTTCTTCTTATTATTATTAATAATTTTAGTATTATTATTATTATTATCATTAGTAGTATTATTAGTAGTATTAGTATTATTATTATGATTATTATTATTATTATTATTATTATTATTATTACTATTATAAGTATAAGTGGTTAAATGATTATGATACTGATTCTGCTTATGCTTCTGCTTTTTTGCTTACGTTGAGTAATATTCTTCTTCATAGTATTATTCGTATTATTATTATTATCATTACCATTCTCATTATCTTATCATTATTATTATTATTACCATGAGTAGTATGAGTAGTAATATTCGTCTCCATTTTCCTCTTCCTCATCCTTGCGCTTCCTCTTCCTCTTCCTCCTCCTTCTCCTCCTCCTCCTCCTCCTGATCCTGCTCCTGCTCCTGCTCCTGCTCCTGCTCCTGCTCCCGCTCCTGCTCCTGCTCCTGCTCCTGCTCCTCTTCCTCCTCCTCCTCCTCCTCCTCCTCCGCCTCCGCCTCCGCCTCCGCCTCCGCCTCCGCCTCCGCCTCCGCCACCGCATCCGCTTCCGCCTCCGCCTCCGCCTCCTCCTCCGCCTCCGCCTCCGCCTCCTCCGTCTCCGCCTCCGCCTCCGCCTCGGCCTCGGCCTCCGCCTCCGCCTCCTCCTCCTCCTCCGCCTCCTCCTCCTCCTCTTATCCGCCTCCTCCTCCTCCTTCCTCCTCCTCCTCTTCCTCCTCCTCCTCTCCTCCTCCTCCTCCTCCCCCCATCCTCCTCCTCCTCCTCTCCTCCTCCTCCTCCTCCTCCTCCTCTCCTCCCTCCTCCTCCTCCTCCTCCTCATCCTTCCTCCTCCTCCTCCTTCTCTTCTCCTGACTTCCTCCTCCTCCTCCTCCTCCTCCTCCTCCGCCTCCGCCTCCGCCTCCGCCTCCGCCTCCGCCTCCGCCTCCTCCTCCTCCGCCTCTCCGCCTCTCCGCCTCCGCCTCCTCCTCCGCCTCCGCCTCCGCCTCCGCCTCCGCCTCCGCCTCCGCTTCCGCCTCCGCCTCCGCCTCCGCCTCCTCCTGCGCCTCCTCCTCATCCTCCGCCTCCGCCTCCGCCTCCTCCTCCTCGTCCTCCTCCTTCGCCTCCGCCTCCTCCGCCTCCTCCGCCTCCACCTCCTCCTCCTCCTCCTCGTCCTCCTGCTCCTCCGCATCCTCCTCCGCCTCCCCCTCATCCTCCTATTTTCCGCTTCGTAATGTTGGTCTTATGATTAGCATATTGATGAGTCTGCTTAGTATTAGTATTCATGGTCGTGTTATTATTATTATTATTATTATTATTATTATTAGTATTATTATTATGATTATTATTATTATTAGTATTCTTATTATTATTGTTAGTATTATTAATATTATTTTATCATTATTATTATTATTTGTAATCGTACTATTCGTCTTAGTCGTCTTCTTCTGCTGATTATGATCAGTACGAATATAGTGGCTCGTATGCTTACTTTGCGTATTCTGCGTATGCGTATGCGTTTGCGTCTGCTTCGTCGTTTTATGCTTAGTCGGCTTAATGTTACTATTAGTAGTGTTCCTCCTCCGCCTCCTCCTCCGCCTCCTCCTCATCCTTCTCCTCCTCCTCCTCATCCGCCTCCGCCTCTGCGTCCGCCGCCTCCGCCTCCGCCTCCGCCCCCTCCTCCTCCTCCTCCTCCTCCTCCTCCTCCGCCTCCGCCGCCTCCTCCGCGACCTCCTCCTCCTCCTCCTCCTCCGCCTCCGCCTCCGCCTCCGCCTCCGCCTCCCCCTCTGCCTCCTCCTCCTCTGCCTCCTCCTCCTCCTCCTCCTCCTCTTCCTCCTCCTCCTACTACTACTACTACTCCTCTTCCCTCCTCCTCCTTCCTCGTCCTCCTCCGCTCCCCTCCTCCTCCTCCTGATCCTCCTCCTCCTCCTCATCCGCCTCCGCCTCCTCCTCTTCGTCTCCTCTTCGTCCTCCTCCTCCTCCTCCTCTTCTCCTCCTCCTTCTCCTCCTCCTCCTCCTGCTCCTCCTCCTCGTCCTCCTCCTTCTCCTCCTCCGCCTCCTCCTCCCCTCCTCCCCTCCTTTTCTCTCCACCGCACACCGCCACCGCTTCGCTGGCCCGGGCCCCCTTGAGCAGACACGAGGGACCCAGCTTGAGACACTAGGTTTGTGTAGGTCGGACATGTCCTCCTACAGGCGGATGTTGGAGGAAACCTTAAAACCACTTACCCTGAGACGTACCCAACCCTTTCTATTACATGTGGCGATTCTGCTCAGGACCACTCCATGCTGACTGGCATTATGAAGGACCCGTAGTGCGCAAGAAGAACACCCAGCAGTGATTCCAGAAGAACGCCCCCCAAGGAGCGGCGAGGTCCCGAGGTGGTCCGCGTATGACCCACCTCCGCTGGGCCTCCCAGGCGCCCCTGAAATTGGCGACAATTGCGCAGATCGCACGCCCCCCAGGGTGCGGCGAGGTCCCAAGGTGGTCCGCGTGGGACGTATACCTCCGCTGAGCCTTCCAGGAGCCCACGAAAGTGGCGACAGTTGAGCAGATCGCAAGCCCCCCAGGGAGCGGCGAGGTCCCGAGGTGGTCCGCGTGGGAACCACCTCCGCTGGGCCTCCCAGGAGCCCATGAAAGTGGCGACGATTGCGCAGATCGCAAGCCCCCCAGGGTGCGGCGAGGTCCCAAGGTGGTCCGCGTGGGACGTATACCTCCGCTGGGCCTCCCAGGAGCCCACGAAAGTGGCGACAGTTGCGCAGATCGCAGACGGCACGAGAGAAGAGGAGAAGGGAACACGGGAAACAGGAGAGAAGGAGGAGAGGAGGAGGAGGAGGAGGAGAGGAGAGGAGGAGGTGGAGACCACACTCCTCTAGTCAAAACGAGTACCCAACACCACAGGAGGGTTGGGAATCAAATCAAACAGATTGAACTGTTGGCACAAATAGTCTAAAATTCGTCTCTGGATTATCTTTTGACCATTGTCGAACATGCCTCCTGTAGAGGGACAGGCCCGACTTCAGACTTGTGGAAGCGGCGCACCGCGGCCTGCCGGCGACTCGGCACCCCTCGCGGCCCGCCGGCGGGACCCACCCCCAGGGGGCGAGTGGCGCAGAGGACGTGTATGAAGGGGCCCTGGGACACACAAATACAAACAAATAAAAGGATTCCCTATATGGTCTCACATTTTCTGGGTTTTCGTCTTCCTCCCACTTCCCATATTCTTCCATATTTTCTAAGGAATCGACGATTAATTGTGTTTGCTATTTTTTCCCCTCCTGATTACCCCCAGGGCGCGAGTGGCGCAGAAGGCGTGTGCCAGACGCCCGCTGGGGGCCGCGCTCTCTCTCCGGGGGCCGCCGCCGGGCGACGAGGCACGGGGTCGGCGCGAGGGTCGGGGGCGCACCCGGGCATCGGACAGCCCCTGAGATCCTGTCGCTGCAACTTTTTCACGACGGGCGTTTTCGCATCAGGCCCGAAAAATGGCGCGAAAAATGGCTCGAAACATGGCGCAGAAAGATGGCTCGACCCTCACCGAAAAATAGCGCAGGAAAATGGCTCGAAAAATGGCGAAGGGAAAATGGCGCGGGACCCTCACCGATGGATCCGGCTCGAAGAATGGCGCAGGAAGATGGTGCCCAGGAGCTCTGGGCGTGTGTTTTTGTTCGCGCGATGCCGCAATTTTTGCTGCAACGTCGGGTCTCAGGGGCCGCGCAGGGCCGGGGTGAACAAGAGGCACCAAAGGGCCCCCCTGGCGCTCCGTCGGGCCCGTGCTTTCGACTCGGGCACCCCCCCGCGGCGACGGGTGGGGGGACAAAGGAGGCTTGGGGCAACCGTCGAGACGGCGTCGTCTCGACGCTTACTTCGCGGCCCGGGCGCGGGGCGGGCCCGGGGCTAAGGGCGGGTCGGGGCCTGGGGGGGGGGGGGGGGGGGGGGGGGGGTGGGGGGGTGGGGGCATGGCGGGCCGAGGGGGGCGGGGGGGAGGGAGGGCGCGGGAGGGGAGGAGGGGGGCACGCGAGGTGACCGGGGGGGAGGGGCGCTCCACATCCGCCGAGACGACCGGGGCGCCCGGACATGGCCGCCCGAGGGCCGCGCCCAGGGAGCTCTGAGCGCACCGAGAGGAACGCAGAATCCGCCATGGAGGTCCAGGCGCCCCGATGCGACCACCGGGGCCGTCCTGGCGGGCTTCGGAGCGCCCCTGGGGCACTCCGAGTGCTGGGGCCCCGCGGACATCTTGGAGAGCACCGGGGCAATCTTGGAGGCCCTCTTGCGCCATCCGAGAAGGCACTTGGCCTGTCTTCGAGCATGGGAGAGCCGCCTGGAAGCCGCCGGGGAGAGGGGAACCACACATACGTAAGGGTGGCTGCTGCGCGGGCCCCACGGGCCCAGGTACGCGATTATATGCCGGGAGCCGCCTTGTGCACCTCCTCCGGGCTCTTGAAGAGGAGGGTGACAAGGAGGAGGAAGAACGAACGACAAGGAAGGAGGAATGACACTAAGTGAAGCGTGGACTCCTGGCCGATTGAAAGGGCAGAGCAACGACGCGACAGCAAACGGCGCGCTCGTGGTTTGGCACATGTTGCGGTCTCCTGCGCTCCCCCTGCCCACCCAAGAAGCATACATGTCAGACATTGTTGGATCGGTGCCTTTCCTCTGCTTCTGATCCTCGTGGTCCTGCTCCCATTCCACTTCCTGATTGTCC